TAGTCCCAACTACTGGGGAAGCTGAGGCAGGAGAATTCCTTGAACCCAAAAAGCAGAGATTGCAGTAAGCCAAGATTGTGTCACTGCACTCCAGCCTGGGTGACAGAGCAAGACTCTGGTAAATAAATAAACACATAAAAGGTATTCATTTAAACAGGACATCTTATATATAGTACCTTGGACATGGATTTTTGTTTGTTTGTTTGTTTGTTTGTATTTCTGAAGAGGGAATCCTACTCTGTCACCCAGGCTGGAGTGCAGCAGCACGATCTGGGCTCACTGCAACCTCCGCCTCCCGAATTCAAGTGACTCTCGTGCCTCAGCCTCCCAAGTAGCTGGGACTACAGGTGCCTGCAACCATGCCTGGCTAATTTTTTATATTTTTAGTAAGCCCACCTCATATTCCCAAAGCGCTGGGATCACAGGCATGAGCCACCGCAACCAGCCAGACATGGGTATTTCAATTTAAACGTACTCTACTGGAAACATTCAAGTGCAAAGATTAAACTCTAGTACCGCTCTCTAAACTACAAGTTTATACAATATAAAATCCTCACTGTATAAAAGAAAGTAGTGAATTTACAAGTAATCTATCTGCAGATCTGAAAATACCGAAATGGAAAATACAACCCCAATACTGAAAATGACTACAGGTGCTGTCTCACTGCTATCAGGTACGTAACTACTAAAACATGGAGAAGTGTGGGAAGGGTGCAACAATTCCTGCAACCTGGCAAAATTTTCTGCAGGCAGAGAGATTTTTCCTGAACCATTCCACAATGCTTTTTTCCTGCTTACTTCAAAGAAAACGTTACTCAAGTGACTACAAATCACACAAACCACACTAACAATCCTACCTCAACTGGTAATTTCTACTGTTAGAAAAATTTTAAATGACTATAATGCAAATCTCTCCCTCCGGTCAGAATGAAAACATTGGTTGTTCTGACTTTAATCATCAGTGCTATTTGTCAAATATGAAAAAGTTTTCATCACTCTGCAATCATTACCACTCAACACTCGGGGATCAACAAAAGAGATCAGGAAACAACCTTTCCCTGAAACAAACGATCCTACTACTTTGTGCATTCACAAGTTAAGACTGACCTCACACTGATCCACTGAAAGTCAGCTCCTAAACCACAACAGCACAACTAAATTAGGTTATGTCTTTCATGTCAAGTGGTTGTTCCCCCATATAGAAATCTTTCTGTATATAACAGAGCATATAATTACAAAAGGCCTCCCCCCGCCCATCAAGAAAGCTGTAACTGGCTGAAAGGACAGATTTTATGCTGTTCTAAAATGAAAATGTGTTCTCTCACTTATTTAGGTCCACTAAGTGACAGACATCTACCACACACTATTATATTCATTTCTCTTAACTACCGTATAAGGTTGGTATTATTGCCATTATTTTACAGAGGGAAAAACAAGAGCCTGCCCCAGCACACAGATAGGGTAAACGCATTGCAGACAGAATTCTTCCCTGGGTCTGACTCCAATCAGCAACTAATACTGTCCCCTCCCAAAGGCACTTTTTGGCCAAAGTTTTAAAAATCCATTTCCTCCCACAATTAATCTCCTTAAATTATGGTGAGTGCTTTGAGTCTCTGTAAGAAAACACTAAAATGACCTTGGAGCCTTCCTAAATTGTGACAGTGCATGCATGAAAAACTGAATAAACAAAATGAAAAGAGAGGCTGTAAGACATCAGATAACTCACAACCGGTTTCCTCTGAGAACAAGAAACAGAACAGAAAAGAATAACTTACTAGCTAAGGAATGTTCTTCCTGATTATATGCCTGAGGCCAGTATGAACCTCAAGAAGGTCATCTGTGACCCTACTAATGTCTTCTGCCATTCTGACTCCCAAGAATGAGATAAACTTGTCACTTAAAGTCATCTCTGCCATCAAGTCAATGCTTCTACTGGACAGGCAATGCTAACCAGTGGAATGAACACCTGTGTGGAAATACAGTGAACTGGGCAAGATTCGGCTCTGCCCTTGCATAGCCAAGTCACCCTGTCAAGGTCATCTCACTCTTTTAGAGTCTCAGCACAAAGGACACGCCTGAAAGAACTTAAACTCACTTCCTGAGCTAAGATGCCAAGACTTTTTTCTTTTCCCATAATATTCTGGGTTTTTTTTTCCTTAAGACAGTTTCACTCTTGTCTCCCAGGCTGGAATGCAGTGGTGCAACCTTGGCTCATTGCAATCTCTCTCTCTCTCCCCAGTTCAAGTGATTCTTCTCCTTCCTTAGCCTTCCAAGTAGCTGGGATTATAGGCACCCACAACCGCGCCAGCTAAATTTTTTGTATTTTTAGTAGAGATGGGGTTTCGCCACATTGGGCAGGCTGGTCTCAAACTCCTGACATCAGGTGATCTGCCTGATTCGGCCTCCCAAAGTGCTCGGATTACAGGCATGAGCCACCGTGCCCAGCCTCTTTTCCCAAAATATTCTATGATGTCGACACAGTGCTTAAGAGTAAGGGCTTCACTTACAAAGAATTAAGAATTACAAATCTATGGCTCATGCCTGTAATCCCAGCACTTTGGGAGGCCAAAGCGGGCAAACCAAATGAGGTCAGGAGTTCAAAACCAGCCTGGCCAACACAGTGAAACCCCGTCTTTATTAAAAATACAAAAAATTAGCCGGAGGTGGTGGCAGGCACCTGTAATCCCAGCTATTCGGGAGGCTGAGGCAGGAGAATCGCTTGAACCCAGGCGGCGGAGGTTGCAGTGAGCCAAGATCGTACCATTGCACTCCAGTTCGGGTGACAGTACCAGACTCTGTCTCAAAAAAAAAAAAAAAGAATTACAAATCTGTGTGTGAAATCTGGGCTCTGCTACTTTCAGGCTGTGAGACCTTAAGCAAATTACTTAACTCTTCAGTTTCCCCACATGTAAAAATGAGGGTAGCTATATTGTCCACCTCATAGTGTATGAGGATAAACGTACATAATACATTTACATCCTAGCTGGTACAATGTAAGCACTCAACAGAAGTAGTAATTATATTATTCTTGCATTTGATTCATGGATCCTTAGTGACTCAGTACCTTTGAACTAAAAGATGTAAATTTCAAAATTACCTCAAAAACAAACCCTGCATAGCTTGGCCAGGCACAGTGGCTCACCCTTATAATCCTCGCACTTTGGGAAGCCAAAGGGGGCAGATCACCTGAGGTCAGGAGTTCAAGACCAGCCTAACATGGTGAAACCCAGTCTCTACTAAAAATATAAAAATTAGCTGGGCGGGGCACAGTGGCTCACGCCTGTAATCCCAGCACTTTGGGAGGCCAAGGCAGGCAGATCACAAGGTCAAGAGATCGAGACCATCCTGGCCAACATAGTGAAACCCCGTCTCTACTAAAAATACAAAAATTAGCTGGACGTGGTGGTGCGTGCCTGTAGTCCCAGCTACTCAGGAGACTGAGGCAGGAGAATTGCTTGAACCTGGGAAGTGGAGGTTGCAGATTGCGCCACTGCACTCCAGTCTGTCACCTGGAGACGGAGCAAGACTCTGTCTCAAAAAAATAAATTAAAAAAAAATTAGCTGGGTGTGGTGATGCACATCTGTAATCCCAGCTACTATGGAGGCCAAGGCAGGAGAATTGTTTGAACCCAGGAAGCAGAGATTGCAGTGAGCCGAGATTGCATCACTGCACTCGAGCCTGGATGACAGAGCAAGACTTTGTCACCCCCGCGCAAAAAAAAAAAAAGACGCCCCCACATAGCTCCCTAGCATAGATGGGTTGACCCTACATATGGTTACAATCCTGTGGTCTGAATCCTCATTTCGCTTTGCCTCCATTTCTCTGAAAATAAAAAGGGGATAAAAATACCTCGTAAAATATTCTCTAGTAGTTTTGGAATTTTTTTTTTTTTTGAGACGGAGTTTTGCTCTTGTTACCCAGGCTGGAGTGCAATGGCGCAATCTCGGCTCACCGCAACCTCCGCTGCCTGGGTTCAGGCAATTCTCCTGCCTCAGCCTCCTGAGTAGCTGGGATTACAGGTACGTGCCACCATGCCCAGCTAATTTTTTTGTATTTTTAGTAGAGACGGGGTTTCACCATGTTGACCAGGACGGTCTCGATCTCTTAACCTCGTGATCCACCCGCCTCAGCCTCCCAAAGTGCTGGGATTACAGGCTTGAGCCACCGCGCCCGGCGGGATTTTTATTTTGTTTGGAGACTGAGTCTTGCTCTGTCGCCCAGGCTGGAATGCAGCAGCACAACCTCAGCTCACTACAACCTCCGCTTCCTGAGTTCCAGCGATTCTCCCGCCTCAGCTTCCAAGTAGCTGGGATTACATGTGACAACCACCATGCCCAGCTAATTTTTGTATTTTTAGTAGAGACAGGGTTCCATCACATGTGTGAGGCTGGTCTTGAACTCCTGACCTCAAGTGATCCACTCGCCTCAGCCTCTCAATATGCTGGGATTACAGGCATGAGCCACCACATCCAGCCTCTTGTAGTTTTGACCAAAGACAAAGTGTATAGTATAAATGAGATAACAGAATTATTTGTCACAAGAATTAAGATGACATGGACACAGCCTATAAAGTATAAAGCATGGTATGATTTCTGCTTTGAAGAAGAAACTGAGGCCGGGCGCAGTGGCTCATGCCTGTAATCCAGCACTTTGGGAGGCCAATGCAGGTGGATCACAACATCAGGAGTTCGAGACTATCCTGGCTAACATGGTGAAACTGTCTCTATTAAAAATACAAAAATTAGCTGGATGTGGTGGTGCACGCCTGTAATTCCAGCTACTCAGGAGGCTGAGGCAGCAGAATTACTTGAACCCAAGAGGTGGAGGTTGCAGTGAGCCAAGATTGTACCACTGCACTCCAGCCTGGGTGACAGAAAGAGACTCCATCCCCCAAAAAAGCAGCAGCTGAGGTTCACAAGTTTTAAATATAAACTCAGACCTACTGAGATTTCCTGAGAGTTAAAGATTTTTAGAGTAGTCAACTCCAGGTGATAACAAGATGGCCATGGGTGTAAGGGGCTAACATGGAATGAAGGTGACCAACAATGTTGAAGGGCAGGTTGCTCCAGAAATGCCCGCTGAATAGTAAAGGTACTGTATACATACACACTCATTTTTCTCACTTTGGCTAGCCTCAGTAAAAAAGAAACTAAGTTACAGATCTACACCATTCTTCATATTTGGTTAACTTGATGACGGAGCCAAAGGAGGCTGAAATGACCAATGTACAAAACGCATGGCAAACCCTATTTTCATTTGTAGCTTTGCCTCTATCTTCCACGTGAAATGTTACTGCAAATAAAGATGAGGGAGGGCTTCAACTAAGCACATCAAGACATAAGGCAATTAAGACCTCCAACTCACTGGTCTCCCCTCAAAACCTGATTCAAAGGTTTCCATGCAAAATTGGAACTGCAAATATTCTGTCCCATCCAGTCTTAATTTTACACATTGTTCATGATAAGCATATCCTACAATCAATATCCCACAGTCTGAAGAAAGCACTAGGCCTTTGAATAGGTCCTGGTATTCAGAGACACCCTAAGGAACTGGTGATGTTTGGAAAACCTCTCCACTGAGCTCTTTACACTATGCATGTAGTAGTTCCTCACTGCTTGGCATAAATTACTTTCGTATACAGAAAGACTATCTGCAATATGTTCTGAAACCTGGTTTTAACGAATGCAGATATTTCAAGTTTCTGTACATATTTTTCCCCATTATCTAGCTGGGTTCAGGAAAAACGCAGCAGTTTACTTTGTAAATCTTCCTTTACACAGTAGAAACCAAGGGATATGATTCAATACCTAGCTGAAGAACCCATATTCTATGTAGTTACAATTCTGTGGTCTGAATACTTAAGCAGCACAACAAATTCTTACAAATTATAGTTTTCCATTTAATATACTCTTAACACCCAGAAATCAAAGTAGATGATCCACTTGGAAATATAAAATTATCTGGAAGTTTGATCAGTCAGGTTTATGCTGATAGCATAAGGTAGCAGATAAAATTACAGGCTTTGGCATCAGGCAACCTGGGTTTGAATTCCAGCACAACCACTTAATGAGTGACACTAGACAAGCTACTTAACCTCTCTGATTCTCAGTTTCCTCATCTGCAATATTGGGATGATAATGCCTACCTACTGGTGTTAAAATGTGCCCCAAAATACCAATTCTCTTCCTCTATTATCAATTCCCTTCTCCAGAAACTTTAGTTGCATTCATAAAAAACTGAATAAATTTGAAAACCATGGAAGTTTCTTGAATTTGGTATGAAAACAGAAGAGTAACAACCAAAGCTAAAAGGACAACCTAACAAAAACAAGGAAAAACAAATTAGGGAAACACAGGTTTAACATAAAGGTGTTTCCACGGCCCTCACACATTGGGAGGAGCAAATGTAAAGCAATATAATAACTATGATTAAGATTCAGGGGAAAAGGAACAAATCCCCAACAAGTTGAATGCAACGACTCTAAGAGGAATAAAAATCTCGGAATACGAACCAGAAAGTGTTGACAAGTCCTGTTCCTCAAGAAGCCATCCATTGACTTTTTTTTGTTTGGAGCTGCTTATTTGAAAAAGCACTGCTTATTTGAAAAAACAAACAGGCGGACCATGGTGGCTCACACCTGTAATCCCAGCACTTTGGGAGGCCAACGTAGGTGGATTACCTGAGGTCAGGAGTTCAAGACCAGCCCGGCCAACATGGCGAAACCCCTGTCTCTACTAAAAATACCAAAAAATAAATTAAAAAATTAGCTGGCCGTGGTGGCGGGCACCTGTAATCCCAGCTACTCGGGAGGCTGAGGTGGAGAATTGCTTAACCCCGAGAGGCCAAGGTCTCAGTGAGCCAAGACTGCACCACTGGAGTCCAGGCAGGGTGACAGAGCCAGAGTCTGTCAAAAAGAAAAGAAAAAACAAATAAAACATCAAAGTACACATGGGAGTGAGTATACTTTTTAGGCACGTATACAAGGAAATAAAACCAAGATCCAAAATTTCTGGCTAGCTCCTTTCCCCTTAAAGAGGAATCTAACAGTATTTACTCAACAAATAACTACCAAGTACCTAATATTTGCTAATGTAGCTTTGGAAATTCAGCTATGACCTGTATCCTCCCTAGAGCCGCTGCAAATTTTCTCTTTTTTGGGGGGGGAGACGCAGTTTCACTCTTGTTGCCCAGGCTGGAGAGGAATGGCTCAATCTCACCGCAAGCTCCGTCCCCCACCCACTCGCCCCCAAGTTCAAGGGATCCTCCTGCCTCAGCCTCCCAAGTAGCTGGAATTGCAGGCATGCGCCACCACGCCCGTAGAGACGGAGGGGCGGGGGTTCTCCATGTTGGTCAGGCTGGTCTCGAACTCCCAACCTCAGGTGATCCGCCCGCCTCAACCTCCCAAAGTGCTGGGATTACAGGCGTAAGCCACCATGCCCAGCCAGAGCAGCAAATTTCATATACAACATCTCAAAACTAGCTGCATGGTCCTGAGACTCAATAATCTACAATTGCTCTATTAATACATTCCCCAAGTCTGAAAATGTTCCTTAAAATGCTTCCTACATCAGACTTCCTCACTGTAAATCTGACACTACTTAATGCTATGCTTCCTAGCCTCGGACAGAACACAACTATCAATAGGATCCCTTTCTCGGTTTACTTGCTCCTCACATCACATCCGAGGTCAAAACCTCAGTATTTAAATGCTTACACTCTCCAGCAAAATCCCTGATCTGATTCTACCTTTCATCTATGCCCCTAGTCCTGATGCCTTTTTCCCTATACCATACACTCACACCGTGGACTTCAGGGCCACTTCCAAACTGGGTCACACTAGCACCCCTGGATCTCGAGGATCCTCTCAGCTGGTCACTTGGGTTTCGGTGTTTCCAGGCCTGGAACCCTGTGGGCCAGCACATCCCCATGTTGGGCTATACATGTATCAGGAAAAGCATCTATGAAAGTGAATGTCCCCCATTCCAGGCCATAGCCCAGGTTACCCCCAAAGCACCTGCCAGGCCATCATCCTCTCTTCCCCCCTTAAGGCCGCTAGGCTCGCACCCCCGCCGCAACCCCACGCCTGCGCCGCAGGGGTCATTGCCCCCACCGCCCTAGACCCAGACGCGCGCATCCCGCAGCCTCAGATTCCTTCATCACCCCCTAGGCCGGAGCCGGCGCGACCAATAAGGTGCCAGGTCCGCGGCCTCCCCGCCACCAACCAATCACGAGCGAGCCCCCCCGCCGTCGCCTTCCGCCAATGGGAGAAAGCCCGCGGGCCGGGCCGACGAGGCGCACGGACCCCACGAGCGCGGCGGCGGGGACGACAGCGTCGGGGCTGGCGAGAACACAACATGGCGGCGTGCAGGCCGGACCGAGCTACAGCAGCGGCCGCGCGAGGAAGTGAGGTCTCCGGCGGAGGGAAGCGCTGCCCCTCCCCCCGCCGCTACTCCCCTCTCACCCTCCCTCGTACGGAAGCTCCCGCACACTCACACGCCTTTGCTCGGGAGTCCAGGAAGAGCAGGAACCGCCCCCGCGCTCCTGCGGAGTCGGGCAATGCAGAGGCCCAGGCACGGCGGAAGGAAGGGGAAAGCGTGCGTCACGGAGAACGGAGCGCGCGCGAAGCGGGGGCACAAACAAGATGGCGGCCACGCCGTTTGCACGGTCTCCCCTTTTCCCCTCCCCCTCCCTGGGCCTAGACACTCAGTGTCGTGCTGCACGCAGAAGCTGAGCTGCTTGAAGTCTCGCGAGAATTGGGAAGGGGCGAGGACAGTGAGACCGAATGAGATGTGAGAGTTTTGACCCCACCCCCTTTCGGGGGATCTGGAGGCGTTGCCCGGTGACCTCCACTGAGCTTTCTATCCTTGTGACTCTCTTTGGTGCGAGCTTGAGTTTTTGGAAATAAGTAGGGACGTGTGTGTGTATTTGTGTTTTTAATTTGGGGAGAACTGGAGGATGAAGGTCGACTTGGCATGCCAGATTAAGCATGCTGTTCAGGTAGACAGCTACTGGCGCCTTAAATTCATAAAAGAGAGCATTTGACACCAAACTGTAAAGTGATACCCTCCAGAATAAAGAACAGTACTTAGCAAGAATAGCTGGTAGCTTTACTTCGACATAGACGTTGTTCTCGTTTGAATGCAGATTTTAAAACTTTATCACGCAGTTGAAAACCACAGCTACAATGAGCATGGACTTTTTCAATTATCTCTTTCATTTCCATTGGTCCAAAGGCATCAGGATTTTATCCATTTTACAATGATAAAACTGAAGCTCAAAAAGGTTAAGTAACTTGATCTAAGTAAAGCCCCACAGCTAGTAGCTGTCAAAACCTAATCCGAATAACTTCAAAACCTATAGGTACAGTAAGAGTTAGTGCATGAGGTAACAAGCACAGAGAGGAATGACTGCCTCTGCTGATGGTAACCTTGAAGTTTACAAATGACATTGGAGCTTTTCTGACACGTGTTGCATGGGTCCTCAATAAAATCTACACACTGTTGTTACTCCCTGTGGGTTTATAACCCTGGTGATAAAGCAATTGAGCATAGTGGAATAAACCCTTAACTTAAATTCAGGAAAATTGTTTTCAAATTCAATTTAAATAAATCGCGCTTTAGGCACTCAATAAATATTTGATGAATAAATGAACAAAACCTAACTATAAGACACTTGACTTCAGGGAGTCTCAATTTCTTCATTTGTAAAAAGATCTAATTCCTAACTCTTGGTAATGTGGGGAGAGTGAATGAAATAATGTGAGAGTGCTTTGTAAATTGCAATGTGTTATAAAAAAGTTACTGCAGTAAGCTATGAACATGCCACTGCACTCTAGCCTGGGTGATAGTGCAAGGCCCTGTCTCAGAAAAAAAAAAAAAAATTATAATGACAATGACATTTTCAGACTTCAGAAACGGCGTAAAATTATAAACAGGGAGACTCAGTAAAATAGTATGTTGGGATTGTAGAGAGACAAATTAGCTAATGGAAAAAAGCTAGGTAAGTCTTTCTACAAGTATGTATTGAGCAATTATTGCATATGCTATGCTTACCAAAGAAATGTAAAAATGTGTAGGAAGAGTGATTATTGTTGTAATTAAGTATTGACCGCACTTAGGGTCTGCAGTCCATTTTCTTCCAAGAGTCTGGAAATTGGGTTGCCCTCAGAAATAAATAAAAATCTACGTATTAGGGGAAATTAGCCAAGAATGATATTAAATATATTTAACAACAAGTAGTGAACAAGCAGAATTAGAAATCCAGTTAGGGTCCTGGAGGTACAGCAGCTACTTACCAGACAATACTAGAGTATTTCAGTATTTTAATAGTCAATGCTGTAACTGTTAACAGTCAACTGGTACATATGAGCCTAATGTTAGTCCTTGCTGTAGACTGTATTATCAATAGTCTCTGCCCTTCCCTTTCTAAAGCCCTCGCTATCTAGCTTGTCCCTAGGAGATTCGGGTGAAAAACTTCTCCCCCTAATGTCATCAAGTTTGGCCTTGTTTTGACCAGTGAAATGTGAGTAGAAATGGCATGAATCACTTCTCAACAGAAATTTATGAGCTATCTTGTGATTTCACCGTATTATCTTTCCTCTGACACAAGAGCAGTATGTCCTAAATAGAGCTACCTCTTCAGCTTTTGTCCCAGAATGAAGATGTGCAGAGCCACAACTGACACACATAACATGGAATGTTGTGTGGACAATAAATAAATCTTTGTTGTAAGCCACTGAGATTGTTTTCGTTGTTACTGCAGCATAACCTGCTAGCTAAGCAGACTAATGCAGTCATGAAATTAGCTATCTGTAGAGGTAAGCCAAGACCTTTTTTTACAGACATGACCAAAAAACAAAACATACTCTGGGCCAGGCACAGTTGCTGATGCCTGTAATCCCAGCATTTATGAGGCAGAGGTGGATGGATCATGAGGTCAGGAGATGAAGACCATCCTGATCAACATGGTGAAACCTCATCTCTACTAAAAATACAAAAATTAGCTAGAGATGGTGGCACATTCCTGTAGTCCCAGCTACTTGGGTGGCTGAGGCAAGAGAATCACTTGAACCCAGGAGGCAGAGGTTGCAGTGAGCCAAAATCACTCCAGCCTCAGTGACAGAGTGAGACTTCTTAAAAAAACAAACAAAAAAACCATACTCTGATCCAGGTCATATGAGAAGAATCTCAAGAAGTCAGGTAAGATTGTAATTTAATAAATGGAACCTAATCAATCTTGTCAGCCATTCTGTACCCTGTTTGGAGAGAGATTCTGTGAACAAAAGGGCTTACTCAGCCATGGCAACCCAAAACAAGGCAGTCACAAAGGCTAGCACTAACCATTGCCCCTCTAAGCCTCATATCGGTTAAGCCACTGAGCATTAGAATTTCCTTGTCCATGCCATCTCTGTAGTGGATGAGAATATCTCAGACTGCCTCACTGAGAAATGCTTCTTTCCCTCCATCCCTAGCCGGGAGTCTGGCTCTGTCACCCAGGCTGGAGTGCAATCGTGCGCTCTCAGCTCACCTCCACCTCCCAGGTTCAAGTGATTCTCCTGCCTCAGCCTCCCAAGTCGCTGGGATTACAGATGCACGCCACCACGCCAAGCTAATTGTTGTATTTTTAGGTAGAGACGGGGTTTCACCATGTTGATCAGGCTGATCTTGAATCCCTGACCTTGTGATCCGCCCACCTCAGCCTCCCAAAGTTCTGGGATTACAGGCATGAGCCACCGCACCAGCTAAAAATGCTTCTTAAGATCAACATGCTTTCCTCTATGTTCACCCAGCAAGCATCTTGGTGATAGGGACAGAATTAATGATCTGCCACCTAGAGGATTCCAGTTCTTTTGATAATTGTATTTTTCATTGCAACTGATCAGTTGGATTCCTCTTTTCGGAAAAATTTCTGTGAGTTTAGCAAATACAAGACACCCCTTCCCCACCTCCAGGAAATAGTTAAACTCTCTGCTTACTATTAAAATCAGATTTCTGAGTTTGCAAGGTTAAAGATCAGTTCGTGTATCATGGTAAATTCCTTAAGGTTCTAGGACTGTAACGGGACCTGTCTAGACAGCCAGCTGGACTTCCTTAAGCCACACCCGTCTGTCTCATTGTGTGCCTTCTTTGACCTAAAAGAAAAGCAGCGCTAAAGAGAGGTATAGTTCATGTGCTGCTGGAGTTCAAAAAGAGAGCGCTTACTTCCACTTAGTATGAAATAATAGCAGGAGTTTGGGAAAGACTTGCAAGGATGTGAACCTTGAACTGGGTCTTTAAAAATGAGTAGAATTAGGGAAGAGCATGCCATGTGTAGGCAGCCACTAGGGCAAACAGAAGAAGCGAGGGATCAGTTGAGGAAGTACAGAATAAGAGGGAATGGAAGAAGAATCATATGGAAAGATACATTATTATGGTTAAATTAAGGCTCTTGGGTTTTATTTTCTGCTATGGGAAGTGAATGGTAGAAGTTCTTTGTTTTGCTTTTACACAGTTCAGCTATCTTTAAGTGTACATTTCAGTGATGTTAAGCCTGTTCACGTGCATCTGTCAGCAGAATTTGTCGTTACCCCATACTGCAACTCTGTATACATTAAGCACTAACGCCCTATCCCCTCTTCCCCAGCCTCTGGTAACCACCATTCTACTTTCACCTTTTGGCTACTATAAATGATGCTTCTGTGGACATTGATATACAAATATCTGTTGAAGTCCCCACTTTCAATTATTTGGGATATATGCCCATAAGTGAAATTGCTGGATTATATGGTAATTCTATGTGTAATTGTTTGTTTGTTTGTTTTGAGGAGCCACCATACTGTTTTCCATAGCATCTGTGGCATTTTATATTCCCAATGGTAGAAGGTTTTACGAAAGATAGTGACATAATCAAAACTATGCTTCAAAGCAATCTGGAAAAGAGAGTAAGATGGAATGGGGTTGCAAAATGACCATATGGAGACTTCCACAATAGTTTAGGCAAGATATAATGAGAGTGAGGCCTCATCACATCAGCAGCAATGAGAATGGAGGGAAGAGGATACGAACGATGAGGTGATATTGCCAAGGAAACATTGAAAGGACTTGACCTTTGATTGGCTATTTGAGGGGTTGGGGAAGAAGAAAATCAAGGTGTTTAATATGACTCTCATGTGCCACACCTGGCAGGATGGTAGTCTCCAGATGAAGAGTCAGGGTATGGAGAATTTATGAGTTCAGGTTTGGATATGTAACATTGTAAGCCATGGGGTGGACATTTGTTGTCCTGCATGCTGAATAACCCCTGCATTTTCAACTGGTAATAGCACTGTATTTTTTTTTTTTTTTTTTTTAGACTGAGTTTCACTCCTGTGGCCCAGGCTGGAATGTAGTGGTGCGATCTCGGCTCACTGCAACCTCCACCTTCCAGGTTCAAGCTATTCTCCTGCCTTAGCTTCCCAAGTAGCTGGGATCACAGGTGCCTGCCCCCACACCCAGCTAATTTTTTGTATTTTCAGTGGAAATGAGGTTCTACTCTGTTTGCCAGGCTGGTCTTGATCTCCTGAACTGAGGTAATCCACCCGCCTCGGCCTCCCAAAGTGCTGAGATGATAGGCGTGAACCACCATGCCCAACCTACCTTTTTTTTTCTTTATTTAAAGATTGTAGAATATATCCTTCTTCATCTCTGTATTGGCTAGGCTGGGAAGGTATGTGGACATAAGAATGTGCTTCTCAGATATCTGACTGGGGAAATTGTAATTTACCAACAATCCAGCTGCTGAAATCCATCCTGAGCTTTGAAATCCATTGTCCTTTACCCCGAGGTATTACTTCCCATAGGTTGCTTCTAGCCTGTAACTCAGCCCAACGGGGATTTTAGGACAGGACTGTGCCTAGGATAAGTGATAACTCTTCTGATGGATGGCTTTGATTCAAGGACTCCTCATTAACCTTGCCAAACTTTCCTTAGAACTTCACTGTAGCCCGAAACACTTTCACCTTGAACACCTTCCCTCGGTCCTTCACTCAGGGTCAGGCCTGCATCACTGTGTGATGGCTCTCAGTCTTCCATTTCCTCTCACAGGTGTTTTTCATGATAAATTTATTGCATTTTATTCTGTCTTGGTGTTTGATTTCCTGGGAGTCTGAACTAACATGAGGGGAAAGAGAACAGGATACTTCCTACCATTGTACATATTCTGTACCCCATTAGCCACAGGAGTAGGAACATGACCCAGTCTGACCAATCAGCGATCTCCCACATCTTGGCCCAGTGCCTCCTCATAGCCTCTTGGGGTAATTTGGCTCCCAGGCAATTAACTACTTGGTTCACCTTAATGACAGACGTAGCTGACCAAATCTAAGCAAGGCCTCATAATTCTGCCGCTTGAAGCCAACTAGTTACAAACATGGAGTCTATGGCTTCTGCAACTTCCAGACCCTGATAAAACACCACCTCACAAATTGTGGGATTTGGCTTCCTGAGCAGCTGCTGAAGGGGCCAATGAAGCAACCCAGTACAGAGGATTTAGCTATCCACAGAGCAAACAATGAATGGGAGACAGGAAGGAGCAGGCTGTAACTATTCATTCTTCCTTCCTTCCTCTAATGGGCTGTTTCAAGATACAATTTCTCCATACAACCTGTCTAGAGAAACATTCTGTATGGCCAAATGGGTGCACCTGTCAAGAGACTAGCTACAGCTCATTGTGAACTAATGAACATTTCCTTCCATGGCTTCTCTTCTTTTCCTACTTTCTCTTATCCCTAATTCTTACTACCCCAGGGCTGTGCCTCTCACATAAAGTGTTAGTACTTAATCCCTTCTTCAGGCTTTGTTTTCTTGGAAACCTTGCTAAAACAGATCACAGTTTTTGAAGAGATGGACACATCACTCAAACTAAGCTAAGCAAAGCCTTCCTAAAGATTTGAAGTATACATGTAGGAGAGAGAGGATTTTTCTTCTGGAGATCTTGAGCTATGAGGAACTGAGGGTGGCCATTATTCTTGCTTCATGGAAAGAGCCTGTCTGAGAATGAAGGCATCACAGAGGAAGGCAGAACTTGGAGAAAGAGAGGTAGACAGAGCCCCGATACATCCTTTAAACACCTAGATCCAACTTTCCCCATATGTGTAACCATTTTGTCATTGCTTTGTCATTCTGAAGACCAGTTTTCCCAATCCGTGTCATATAAAACATGTTAACTGATGAGTCCCAGGTTGCCTCCATTCAAAAAATCATCAGGTAACTAGATTCTTAGGCTCAATTCCAAATTTCTGGGAGGAAGAGCTCCTGTTTGAGCTAGCTTTGGCCAACTGTCCACCCCTGGACATTGTGGAGAGGGGGACAGGGTCATACATAAACATGGTTGTATCCACTGTAACTCTATGAAAGAAGGTGTGCTGGAGGGTAGGAGATAGAGTAACACTTCTCAGAAAATTAGGAGTAGAGAATTAGACAGACTAAACAATGTCCACTTCCTGAGAATAAATAAAGGGAAAGAGGGTAAAGAAGTCAGATGACAGAACCTTTATCTAAACCAACACTATCTAACAGAACTTTCTGCAGTGGTAGAAATGCTTTATGTCTGTGCTGTTCAATATGGTAGCCACTAACCGCATGTGTCTGTTAAGCATTTGAAAGATGGTTAGTGCCAGCAAGAAATTGAGGTTTTAATTTTATTTTATTTAAATTTAAATAGCTACATGTAGTATCTTAGTTAGTTTTCTGCTGCTCTAAGAAAATACCA